CAGATGCGGTTGTCCCAAACGGTGACGTCTTCTCAGCAGAGGTACTTTGCTTCTCTCTTTTCCCCTGTTTCTGCGACTCAGCTAAACTTCACCAGATAGCTGTCAATTTCGCATCAACCGAGGAATGGAGAGGCTTGTACCGCCGAATTCGCCACCGATGTGGGACCCGTTATGTCGGAGGTTAGGAAAGTTGAGCCTTGCGAAGTCGCCACGTAGCTTTAGGCGGCCTTTGTCGTAAGCCAAGGCGGCTTCTTCAGCAGTGTCAAAAGTTCCAAGCCAGAGCCGGGTCCTGTTCTTGGGGAGTCGGATCTCGGCTACCCATTTGCCCCAATGTCGCTGCCTCACTCCTCTGTAGAGTTTTTGCGGGCTTTGGTGGACAACCCACTTGCTTCATTGGGACGGCTTTGGAGAAAGAGTTAAGGTGATGACTTTGTTGCGGTTGTTGTGGTTGTTGCCAGAAAATCTGGTTTGGAATCTGGTTTTGGAGGTTCATCTGATTTGGATCTGTTGGATTTGGAACTGGGTGAGGTGTTGAGCCCATTGAACCTTGCTGCTGCTGAAGACCTAGTAAAGGGTCTTGGATCGAGAACCCGTTTGAAAAGAGATGGGCTGACGATGGACAAGCATCAGGGTACAAATTGGCTCTGGAATGATGCGGTTGTTGAAAGGAGAAAAAGAGAGGAAATTGTTGTAAGAAGTAGAGGGATAGAAGAATAGAGGGAAAGGAGAGGGAGAGGGAGAAGGGTTAGGAAGGAGAAGGTGTTGTTGATGAAGAAGAAGAAGCACTTCTCATAAAGGTTCCAGTGCTTCCATTAATTCACCCCCAAAGGAGTCTTTGAAGAGGTCGCTACTGTAAATCCATGTAGCTGCCATATCTTCCAAAACACTAAAACTGATAAGATCACAAACTAAAATAATCTGTTAACAAAGAAAGAAAAATAAAAACCAACCTGGTTCCGTTAAAATTAAGAACAGGTAAATTTTTATAAAAATATATATTTATTATATATCAAAGAGGTTTAAAATACACAACCCCTTCAATTTCAAGAACCTAAAAACCAACCTTAAGGGAACAAAAATATCCCTACAAGCTGATTCACTAAAAAAAAAAACAGATCTTCTAAAATTTACGAAAATATAGTTAAAAAAAACCTGATCTCGATTCTGAAAACACCTGGCTTTCGAGAAATCCTTCTAAGTTTGCTTTTGAACCATTTTTTTGTTTTAGTTGTTTTGAAAACAAACCCAAAAATCAGATTTTTCTAAAGACTGATTAACAGAAAGGGATTCGAGAAGCGGGGAATCACAGAGGGGGGGGGATGTAAACAAATCAAAGGAAAACCAAAATCACACTCAGTTCTGAGCTCTCAAATCTCTCTCTCTCTTTTTTTTTTTTTCTGTGTTTTAGTGTTTATTCTCAACCTTTCTCTGAGCTTGGTCTCGCATCACTTCACCATTATATAGCACCCCACCACCTTAATTATCTCACTAAATCACTTATTAATTTTTTTAATTTTCTCATTATTAAAATACACGTCTTTCTCTCATCCAGCTAGCTTTTTTAATGACGTAAACTTCATCAATCAATTAGCTTGACCCAATTACATTCCGCCACGTACACACGAAAACGCCATCACTGACACCTCCTTGACTAGATCAGTAACCGTCGTGGCGAGTGGGAGTGGAGTTTCATGTGAGTTAATAATTGTCAGCAAAAATGTTGACCTTCATGTGTGTGCTTCCATTGCTGCTAGCCCTTTTGACAAATGCAAAAGTGATTAAATAATGAAATGACTTAAATAATACGGCGAACACAGTATTAATTTAATAAGAGGAGATAAGGGCAGTGGATGAAATTAATGGTCACCAACTTCCTCCGTTTTGGTTTGACTATTTCCTTTTTTAATTATTCAAGATGTAGAGTGCGATCATCGTAGAATTTTAAACTTTACATACATGTTACGGTTACTAAATTTTAAATACATTATGATACTCCTTCTTTTTTCATTTTTCTTTCCTCATCACCCCAAAAAAACCTTTAATTGGTAAAGCTTGAAATTAATTGCTTTAAAATCAATATGAACATACTATAAAAAGTTTCATTTCAATTACATATTACTTTTAATTTCTTAATGAGTGAGGTCAACAACCAACAAACATTCTTAAAACACGTGGCAAGCCTGACTTGACTGTTCCGCCAAGCCATGCCCCTTGAACTACTCAAACTAACCATGGTTTATCGTTGACCGTGGTTCAGTTACGGGAAAGGTAAGAACAAGTCACGTGCAGAGTTGTGCGAGTGGGACAAGCTCTTCATTTGCGGGCGCCAGTTGCTACAGAAAACAGTTTGGGCACGTCTTAAATCAGTTTGACCCCCTCGCATTAAGCGCGTGAATGTTGACGGAGTACTTTTTTGCACTGAGAGCGGCTGTATCAAGCACGCATCAGGAATTCGCGTGGGCGCAGAAATTCTGCATGCGCCTCCGGTGTTTTAATAGAGTATTTTTTGGGGCTGTATGTAGAGAAAGTGAAGTATAGCGTAGGTTAAGTTGTTGACCAAAAATTGTTAAAATAGGATCCGGAATGAATCTGGGGCATGTCGGGCGGAATCCAAGACCCATTACATGCTCCGCTCCTTTTTTCTTATTTCTGAAGCATAATTCTGTCATTTAAACATGTATTAATAATAAGGTTGATAAAAATAATATATATCTTTTAATTTGTCTAGCCATCAAACGTTAACTTGAAATTGAAAAAATAATGAATTTATTCATGAGAAATTGAACCCATTTCCCCACTTTAGAAATCTAATGAAAGATGTTATGCCTCATCGGTAGAGCAGGTGATGCAGGCAGCAAGCAGCTGGAATCGTTCACAGTATCAAATTTTGTTTTAACAATCGGGTGCCCAACACTTTATGTTATCTGAGGATGAGGATGGAGATGTGATGTGATCTTTATATTTATGCAAATGTTTATAATGATAAAGGAGAATGAAATATGCTTGTTTAGTGCTTACTTCTTATTCGCTTGTGTGGTGTTCTAAATTTAATAGGTCTAATGAAATTTCTTGGATGTGTTCATATACTTTTTGTTCTAAAAGCTGCTTTTGATGACTCATCTAAACTTCGCTTAGAAGATAGAATATCTACACTTCTTCCACTACCAACATTACTAAGAATGTGCTATTAGTGACACTAACTTGTTCAATATTGGGATTAGATTCAATTCATACTTGTTGGAGTTCCACACCGATTAGGCACGTTCAAGCCTACTGGTTTATAAGAAGGGGTAATCATCCCATTCAACAAGGCTTTATTGGATGAAAAGTTAGACTCATCTCAAATTCTATCATGGTATCAGAGCCCAGGTTCAGTTAAGCTGAGTGTTTGACCAGCGGGTGAGGAGTTAAAGCTCGTGAGAGGGAGTGTTAGAATCTCACACCGACTAGGCACGCTCAAGCCTATTGATTTGATTATTCATTATTATATACTTAGATTCCCTGATCAAGAATGAAATGTTTAAGCGATTAAGATATATAAGAGGAAGAACATAAAAATGGCTCTCTTGGAAGAATGCAAACAAAGGAATCTGTTTCTGGGATGAACACTTAATATATTCAAAGAAAGAGGTGTATGTCGAGGCACGGTTACAACTGACATCAAAGAATTTGGAATCTCTACAAATAGTATTGACGGTGTGATGCATTTTATATGACAGTCCAGTTATCTAAGAGACTATGGGACAAAATTATGGATTTACTTTAAACTAGTTAAAATAATTTTGCTAATATAAGGAGCCAAAGTCTGTCCATGTATGTTTAACCCAAACAGATTAATTTTGAACTTTTTTTTTTATTCTTTCCACACTTTTGTCTACCAGTGCTGAAATACAATCAATCTCTGTTAACAGTATGAGTTCAATGGTCCTAGAACGAATGAAAAATGTTATAATAGTCTCGCCCCGCTGGAAACGATAACATAAATCTGCAACTTTCCATGTGCTTGATGCACACGTTACTGAACATACAATACTATCAATCCAAGAGAATTAATATTATTTATCAGCCTCCGGTGTTAAACCCCAAGGATTGGCAAGCAGATTTGCTCTCTTTATCAATTTCTTGGGTTTGAATTTTAGATTTCTCTCTCATATTTATGGTTTACTTTGAAATATTAAGTTTATAAAATATTCAATAGACTTTAAAGACTAATTTTGGTGTATATAAACAGTGAATTGATCGATCATTAAAAAAAAAAAAAAAAAAATGATACGATAATTACTATTTTTTTAACCTCTTCTTAGCAACTGGTAATCTCCTTGAGTTTATATATGTAGAAAACGAGTTTATTATTGACTTTAGTGCCTGACTTTAGTGTACATATATAATTTTGTCCACTGGGAAAGTGTAGTTGTTGAGATTTGATGAAACCTAAATTTGATTGCGCGTGCCGAACAGTCTGAGCAGTAAGATGGGATGCGAACAAGAGTGTTTTGGATTAATTTTCCTTAGAGGTGAAGAAAAGCCATACTGTGGAACAAGATTTTGGAAACTTGTCTTGACTTGGTAAATTCATTGAACCTCTTCATGAAAGAAAACAAAGTTTGTAATTTTTAATCAATATCTACGCACCATGCCGTCTCCAAGAAATTTGTTGATAAGAGTCGGATTGGAATGCTCGCCTGACAATTTTTAAAAGAAAAAAAATACAAATAGTCTAGGCCTTTCCACCATTAAAGAGATGATAAAAATAGTGCCCACTACGATTTATTATTTTTATCCAGATAGATTGAAGAAACGGATTGCTTATTGCAGGTTTCTTAAAAAACTTTAAATGCAGAAACACAAGGCAGCACCAGCACCATATTCGAGGTTTCCCAAGACCACATTATGTTAGAATAAAAATGACAAAATCAATTTGTGATCAGCAAAGCTCGATTATTTTCAATCATACAAATCGTACCAAGGAAGCGCAGATACACAACACATACAAAAAATAATTACCACTGAAACTTGAACACCATAAAAGACTTCAATTACAAGACGCTAATTTATTAATTGGATACATAAACAAAGAAACACAAACTCTCCCTGGTTCAGCATGACTAAAACCAGCTGACCACTTGGGAGATGTTACATCATATTAACATGATAATCATAATCATAACTAGAACACACAGAGTAGACTTGGCTCTGCAACTGCCAAAAACTTCATTGCAGCAGCCACTAAACACCCTAGAATCTACATTACAACATTAACAATAACATTACACAACTAGATCTAAGATAAAATTGAAGCCCAATCAATCTCATAAGACGGGTACTTCTGCAACATAAAATTCTCCGAAACGACATCCCAGCACGGTTCTGTATTATCCTGAAACGTCAAATCCGACAAAGGAGATGAACCTGCTGACCCATCACTCGAACCACTCTCAACCTTAACACAAGCTTCCACCTCACCACCGCCCATGCTCAAATTATCCGAACTGGTTGCAACTTTCTCTGATTCCTTCACCACAGATGCGGTTGTTCCCAAACGGTGACGTTTCTTCTCAGCAGAGGTACTTTGCTTCTCTCTTTTCCCCTGTTTCTGCGACTCAGCTAAACTTTCACAGATAGCTGTCAATTTCGCATCAACCGAGGAATGGAGAGGCTTGTACTCGCCGAATTCGCCACCGATGTGGGACCCGTTATGTCGGAGGTTAGGAAAGTTGAGCCTTGCGAAGTCGCCACGTAGCTTATAGGCGGCTTTGTCGTAAGCCAAGGCGGCTTCTTCAGCAGTGTCAAAAGTTCCAAGCCAGAGCCGGGTCCTGTTCTTGGGGAGTCGGATCTCGGCTACCCATTTGCCCCAATGTCGCTGCCTCACTCCTCTGTAGAGTTTTGCGGGCTTTGGTGGACAACCCACTTGCTTCATTGGGACGGGCTTTGGAGAAAGAAAGTTAAGGTGATGACTTTGTTGCGGTTGTTGTGGTTGTTGCCAGAAAATCTGGTTTGGAATCTGGTTTTGGAGGTTCATCTGAGTTTGGATCTGTTGGATTTGGAACTGGGTGAGGTTGTTGAGCCCAATTGAACCTTGCTGCTGCTGAAGACCTAGTAAAGGGTCTTGGATCGAGAACCCGTTTGAAAAGAGATGGGCTGACGATGTGGAGCAAGCATCAGGGTACAAATTGGGCTCTGGTAATGATGCGGTTGTTGGGAAAGGAGAAAAAGAGAGGAAATTGTTGTAAGAAGTAGAGGAGATAGAAGAATAAGAGGGAGAAGGAGAGGGAGAGGGAGAAGGGTTATGAGAAGGAGAAGGTGTTGTTGATGAAGAAGAAGAAGCACTTCTCATAAAAGGTTCCAGTGCTTCCATTAATTCACCCCCAAAGGAGTCTGATTGAAGAGGTCCGCTACTGTAGAAATCCATTGTAGCTGCCATATCTTCCAAAACACTAAAACTGATAAGATCACAAACTAAAATAAATCTGTTAACAAAGAAAGAAAAATAAAAACCAACCTGGTTCTCGTTAAAATTAAGAACAGGTAAATTTTTATAAAAATATATATTTATATATATATCAAAGAGGTTTAAAATACACAACCCCTTCAATTTCAAGAACCTAAAAACCAACCTTAAGGGAACAAAAAATATCCCTACAAGCTGATTCAACTAAAAAAAAAAAACAGATCTTCTAAAATTTACGAGAAAATACAGTTAAAAAAAACCTGGATCTCGATTCTGAAAACACCTGGCTTTCGAGAAATCCTTCTAAGTTTGCTTTTGAACCATTTTTTTGTTTTAGTTGTTTTGAAAACAAACCCAAAAATCAGATTTTTCTAAAAGACAGATGATTAACAGAAAGGGATTCAGAGAAGCGGGGAATCACAGAGGGGGGGGATTGTAAACAAATCAAAGGAAAACCAAAATCACACTCAGTTCTGAGCTCTCAAATCTCTCTCTCTTGTTTTTTTTTTTTCTGTGTTTTAGTGTTTATCTCTCAACCTTTCTTGAGCTAGTCTCTGCATCTACTTCAACATATATAGCAACCCACCACCTAATTATCCACTAAATAACTTATTAATTTTTTAATTTTTCATTATAAATTACACGTCTTTCTCCATCCAGCTAGCTTTATTAATGACGTAAGACTTCAAAACAATTAGCTGACCCAGTTACATTCCGCCAAGTACACACGAAAAAGGCGCATCAACTGACATGTCCTTGACAGATCAGTAACCGTCGTGCGAGGTGGGAGTGGAGTTGTCATGTGAGTTAATAATTTGTCAGCAAAAATGTTGACCTTCATGTGTGCGTTCACAATGCTGCCTGCCCTTTTGACAATTGCAAAGTGATTAAATTAATGAAATGACCTAAATAATACGGCGAACACAGTATTAATTAATAAGAGGAGATAAGGGAAAGTGAGGGAGGGCAGTTGATGAAATAATGGTCACCAACTTCCTCCGTTTTGGTTTGACTATTTCCTTTTTTTAATTAATTCAAGATAGAGTGAGCGATCATCGTAGAATTTTAGTACTTTACATAACATGTTACGGCTACTAAATTAAATACATTGATGATACTGCTTCTTATCCTATATTTTTTCATTTCCTCAATCACCCAAAAAAACCTTTAATTGGGAAAGCTTGAAATTAATTGCTTTAAGAAATCAATATGAACATACTAAAAAGTTCATTTCACAATACATATACTTTTAATTTCTTAATGAGTGAGGTCAAACAACGACTAACAATACTAACAACGTGGCAAGCCTGACTTGACTGTTCCGCCAAGCCATGCCCCTTGAACTACTCAAACTAACCATGGTAATCGTTGACCGTGGTTCAGTTACTGGGAAAAGGTAAAGAACAAGTCACGTGCAGGAGTTGTGCGAGTGGGACAAGCTCTTCATTTGCGGAGCCAGTTGCTACAGAAAACAGTTTGGGCACGTCTTAAATCAGTTTGACCCCCTCGCATTAAGCGCGTGAATGTTGACAGGAGTACTTTTTTGCACTGAGAGCGGCTGTATCAAGCACGCATCAGGAATTCGCGTGAGCGCAGAAATTCTTGCATGCGCGCTCCGGTGTTTTAATAGAGTATTTTTTGGGGGCTGTATGTAGAGAAAGTGGAGTATAGCGTAGGTTAAGTTAGTTGACCAAAAATTGGGTTAAAATAGGATCCGGAATGAATCTCGGGGCATGTCGGGCGGGAATCCAAGACCCATTACACATGCTCCGCTCCTTTTTTTCTTAATTTCTGAAGCATACATTCTGTCCATTTAAACATGTAATTAATAATACAAGTTGATAAAAAAATATATATATATCTTTTAATTTGAGCTTAGCCATCAAACGTTAACTTGAAATTGAAAAAATAATGAATTTATTCATGAGAAATTGAACCCATTTCCCCACTTTGAAGAAATCTAATGAAAGATGTTATGCCTCCCATCGGTGTAGCATCTGAGTGTCACGTTAGCAAGCAGCTGGAGATCGTTCACATGTTAAAGCTTTGCTTTAATCGAGGAAATCCTTCGGACAAGTGACCAATGGGACGCAAAGAAATGATTTACACTACACCTAACCACTTACAACTTTTATAATCATTATCTTAAACTTTTTCACTATAAATAGAGGATTTTTCTCTCATTTGGGAGAATTAGCTAATTTGACTCTGAAATAGCTCTCTTTCTCTCTCTTGTATTCTCTCTCTAAACTGTAACTCAACTCGTTGAATACGACTTAACCCCTTTCTCTTATTAATACAATAGCGGTGGACGTAACTTTTGAACATCCGAATCACTTTAAATATTGTTCTTCACTTTTTATTTAATTCAATTCCATCACATCATATATGACTTCTAAGTCTTTTTAATATTTTACACGTGTGAGTAGTTGTTGTCAAAATCAAGCATCAACAAAAAGGCAATTACGTGCAAGGGAGCTTCTTTCTCAAAAATCAATTCAATCAACGTCAATTACAGAGAACACCTCCCCCACCTAGAACCAGCCAAAGCCAGCCCAACGGTAGAAAGTTTAAATGAAAGAGAAACAGCTGAAAACATGTTTTCAAAAAAACAAATTTGGGATTACGTATTCATGGCTATGTGTTGCTAATTATCGCCATATGAGGTTTTGAGATGGGGCTGGCCCTAGCATTTGTTTTTAATAGCAGCTCGTCGATTGCAAGAAACACATGTGTTTAGCCGGTAATTTAATTAGAGAAATCAAGATCAAGCCAAGATAATGATGATTGTCGACATACATTATGTCATCCCACTGCCGAAGTTTAGAAATATAAATTATCTTTTAAGATTTAATCAAATTTGTTTATTCAATCTTCATTCTATGCTAATTTTTTTAGAATTAATTGTTGGCTATTATATTTTCGGAATAAACTATTTAGTTAGTCAAGAGATAAGATATGCATGATTAAGTTTAACAAACTTAAAAAGAACCGCACCTAATATCACAACTGATCTAAGATTTATTATAAAAAATTAACTTCACTATTCGGGAATGATTCTTTATAAATAAAACCTATGAAGGGTTATAATTCAAATTAACATTAGTTTAATCATACCATAATTAATTCAATTATTTTGATTGGGATAATCTTTATATTAGAGAAATGTTATAATAAAACTTCATTTGAAATGATATGATAGAAAGTAGCTTACGATTTAAAGACATGATTAGTTATGAATTTTTTCCCATCCGTCATTTTCTATTTTATATTATCTACAAATGAATAGGCAGGCTTGATAACCTTTGTTCGGTCCGACTACAACTCTCGGCTTTTATTGGGTTGTAAAATTGTTTCTTCGAAAGTTTTTTTAGGATGTAAAGTTTACTAAGCAAATATCAATTGTGATGATTTGATAAACAACTTGTTGGGAAAAATGATTCAAAGTTAGAGTAAACGATTTTTTTCCTACCCAAGGTTTGCCTTAATAGCACTTTTCCACCAAAAAAGTTTTAAAATACCAATTTTATATCCAAAGTTTATATTTTATTAATACCTAAAAAACACTTCACTTTCTTAACCAGCTTCGACGAGTTATCAATAGCCAGGGTAAGAGAAGTTTTTTTAAAGTGGGGATGATAGATTGAATGATAATGACCGATTGAATATTTGTTGTCAAAATAATCTGAAAATTATCTAAGAATAGAAAACCCTAACTTTGTGGTGGCCGAAGTGAGAGAGTTTTTGTAGAGAAGAGACTAGAGGTTCAAATGGTGGTAATAAAAAGAATTTTTATCGCTAGAATTGATCGAAATTGGCTTTAGGTATTAACGGAATATGAACTTTGGGTGAGAAAGTAGTATTTTAAAATTTTTTAGGTGTGAAAATGTCATTAAGGCAAAGGTTGGGTGGGAAAAGATCGTTTACTCTTCAAAGTTAAGCATACAACATTGAAATGGCCTAAAAGAATAGGGTGGGGCATTTATCGAGGGGTCTCTAGCTCTTTTGTTTACTATTCCTTGAAAATCCAATTTTGAGTCCACATAATTTCATAAACAGATAGATGGGTAAAAACCGACCCGAAAAGAAGAAGGTGGGGTTTGTAGAGAAGGTCAAAATATCATAAGAGGAGAAATTGGCGGTGGAGTGGAGAAAGAAGAGTGAGTGAGAAACATATGCGTAAAGGAGAAGCGTAGAATTTGAAAAGGTGGAGGTGGGGCCCGTAAGAAGAGCCTTAAAAAATCAAAACTAACGCTTTTCTTTTGACGACGCGGTTTCAGTTCCCAGTATTATTAGTCTGTCTAAATTCATTTTCACGCGGCCGTTTTTCTTTCAATCCAGCAACCTTTGTACCGTCGCCACGTGTCTCTCTCAACTCTCTGGATTCCACTACCCTTAAATATTGTGCAAAAATGACATCATCCAAACCTTTTCACAAGTTTGTAAAAGTTGATTTTAGAAATTTTTCCAAATTTTGTCACGGGAGAGTCATGTGTATTTCACGTGATAATCAACTGGGCGATGCTTTTCCAAAGTGAAAAGAAGGTTTTGTGTGGTAAAATTTTCTTCAAGTTGCAATTTGCGATTGAGGAGGAAAGGTTGAATATGGTTCAAGAATTTGCTGGGGGAAACAATTGTTGTCATTTTCACAGCAGGTTGATGTCATTATAAGGTAGATATCTCTTTTGATATGGTGGGGGGAAGGGAACTCCTATTTCCACTTTTTCTTTTTCAAGACATCTCACATGCTCCCCAACAAAAGGGCTTTCTCTTGATAATTATACATCGTTCGACGTCTTAATTGTCCATTAATACAAGTTAATTAAGGTTAAACATCAGCCATCAGTTTTACTGTATATATCAAATTAACTTTAAGTTGAACCTACTAAAAAGAATTATATAATACGACAAATTCTTTGCTGGCATGTTGCATAAAAGCGAGCATACCTCGTGATTTTTGTTTTTCATTTTTTCACAAAATGGTTATTCACTTGAGCATCGATGGTCTGGATTTGGAGGTCTATAAACTTGGCAGTGAAATTTAAAATACAATTGGTAAGGGAATTCATATGTTTCCTGAAACATATGTAGGAAGAGGATGTTGTTTCTGATTTTTAAAAAGTCAAAGTAAGAGACAGTGGTGGGGGGTGAGTTGTGAGGCTGCGGCAACAATAGTGGAATTGGGCGGTGGTGGTTCAATATATATGAATGTCGATTCTATTCTTTTCAGTTGTGGGTTGGTGGAGTCAAACCACCTTTTGTTGCAAACTATCTCCATGTTTGGGCCTTCAGTTGTTGGTCCAAGTCCATAGAAAAGTTTCACATTCCAAACAAGCATATTCAACTTGGGCCCATATTATCTACTCGTTTGTTGTTTTGTGCCCAAGTCCTACCTTAATCCAGCAATCCATTATGCTGAGGTAAAACATCTTTTATTAAGGTTTCGTTTGTTCTGACCAAAAAAAAAAAAAGAAAAAGGGTTTCGTTTGTTTTAACACCAGAAATTCAGGGTAGCAGCAGTCACTAAGCTTCAGTAAGTGTTCATATAAAAATTCTTTAAGTAGAAGAAGGTAACGAGAGAGTAAACTACTATTAGGTGATTTGATAATAAAAGAATAAATAAAGGTTACTGAGTTCTTAAGTTCGAGTCTTAAGAGATTAGTTGATAAGTTAGTCTTATCGGTCGTAAATAAAAATTCAACGCCAAAAAGTATCACTCCAACGATGCATTAAATTCCTTTGTACTTATAAAACAGGTGAGATCAACCATTTTCAACATGGAAACAACAGGAGCATAAAGATTGCAACAATTCTCTTTAACAAATTAATAAAATGTTTACAGCGAAGAAATTAAGGAGTTAAGTTGTGCGATTGAGGGAAGCAAAATAATACTAATAAAATAAGAGGGAGCAATTTCCACGAAGAGGAGTCAAGGTGGGACTATGACTGAACTTTTCTTCTCATAGATCAGTTGGTGTCAGCAAATCAGAAACGGCCGACACTGATGAGAATTTAAATGCTCCAATATCTTGCACATGCCTGAGCCTGACTCTAACTCAGTTAATTTGCTAACCTTGTTTCCCAAAACGCGTTACAATTCTTCTGTTTCACCAACCATTCTGTTTATAAAACTAAAAGTACAAACGCATTAATTTTCAAACCAACTACTGAATGCAAAAGTATTTTTCATTAAATTATGTGGGGCTGGGGAATTTATATTATGGGAAGCCATGTGTTATGGTGTTGAAAGAAACTTGTGAATCATGTTTTAAGAGTCTAAAGAGCAAACCATCAAACACGTTATCAGCATTTGAAGGTTGTTTTCATCAACGTTTCAAATCCAAATCCATGCGATGTTGATATTACTTATTATTTCATTTAGTCAAAGATCTCAATTCAGTTTTTGCACGACACTGCAAAAGTAATTAGATTTATTATTTCTTTCTTTCTTTCTTTCTTTTTGGCTGTTACCTTTAGTAAGGAAATGGGATAAGAAACAAAAAAAAAAAATCTCAATTTTTCATCAATGAAGAGCTCCACTTGGGTGACTGAGGAGGATCATATAACTAATTACCCGTTTTATAAAACACCTCAAATACCTTAAAGGGACGTTTGGTTCAGGAATGTTAGATTACTAGAAATATTAGATTACTGGAAAGATAGATTATCTTGGAAGATTACTGAGAATCTTTAGAAAAATGTGTTTGGTTAGTTGGGTGGTTATGTTATATTAATATGTTTGGTTATGGGGAATAAATTAGTGGATATGTTATTTAAATTATTAAATTGTCCCCTTTTCAAATATTAATATAATATTATTTTTATTATTAAATAATTTCTTTTAACCCCCAATATTTTATATTTAGTTAAAACACCCCCGCGTATATAAAACTTTAATTTATTATGAAATCACCCCCACCTCCTACCGCCACCGCAAACCACCGTCGAAAGTCCCCGTTAATAGCTCGCCGTGACCAAGAGGCTCCGATATGGCCGTTTCTGACCATATTGATGGTCGAAAACAGCCATATCAGGTCAGATCTAGCCGTTAATGGCTAGATCCCTAGCCATTATCGGCCAGATCTGGGTGAGATCTGGCAGTTAACGACCATGGACCTGCCTTCAACAGCCAGATCTATTCCGGCCAGAATGGATATGGCTGTTAACGGCCAGTTCCATCAATCTTGTCTGGTATGGTCGTTTTCGGCCATCAATATGGCCGGAAACGACCATATTGAAGCCTCCCACCAAATCTCGTTCTTTTTTAGGGACTCCGATGACTTTTCGGATACAGTCCGTGGTGGTTGGCCCGCTGTCGGCGGTGGTGGCTGGGTGGCAGTGGTGGTCTGTAAATTATTTTAAATATAAGGATATTATTGTCCAAAATTTTAATTAAACAAGGGTAAAATTAAAATAGGATATTAATGTAAATTTATTTTAAAATGAGGCCATTATTGTCCAAAACTTTTATTAATAAGGGATAAAATTGTAACAAAAAAAAGATAATCCTGGTAATCTTAGAATACCTAAGAAAATGGAGGTGATCAGATTACCTCCAATATTACCAATAGTAACTACTATTGGTATTTGAAGATTACCGGAATCTTATATTACTTGACAACCAAACGTGGTAATCAAGTAATATAAGATGACATAACCCCCATTATCTCATATTACCGCCAACCAAACGCCCCCTAATAAGCATCTCTTCATTTGAATCAATAACATTCACTACCCCAAGCCCGGACACCTGTTACATTAAAATGATAAAATTAATTTTGGGTTGTACCACAACGTGTGGGATATTCTCAAATTTTATAATTCAACCATCAACAACGACAAGTTGCTCTACCGATCATGGTTTTAAAACCTGGACTGGCCCGGCTGGTTGAACCGGTTGGACCAGGACCCATGGCCTTCTCTGGGTCGGGTTACCCTTTCAACTGTTCTAAGTTTAAAATTTATCAAACATACCCTTGATTATTACCATTAGTCCCTGAAGGTTTGAAACCCAGCAAATACACCCTCTAGCCAAATGCAAATTGGCAATGACCTCCCCTTTTCCGGTGACTTTCCACCTTCCCTTGCTGTCGAAAACCACCTTCTGACTTTCTCTAGGACCGTGACGCTTCATCTCCCGCCACCGAGCGATGTTTTGTCGTCCAGCAATTTTTCTTCCATTTCCCAGTGTTGATCGCGCCTTCTCTGGCATTGATAAGCCTCCTCAGCCACCAATATACCTTCTCCCAAGCTCCCTTGCCATCATTCATGAAGATCCATGGTCATCTCGCCAAAAAAAGCCACTGCGACCGTTTGACTTCCACCATCGATCTGCCACTTTCCGGGGATGCCTCAACTTGCTAGCCGCCGATTTGTCCTCCCCATCACCCAATCTACCCTCCCTAGTGTGTCGCCACCGCTCTCCTAGTTGATTGCCGATCTGATTTGGCCAAGGGTTGTGTTGGCTATATTTCAAACCTATAGGGTCTGATGATATTTACCAGGAGTGTGTTTGCTAGATTTTAAACTTGTCAAACAATTGGTTAAACTGCCAATTAAACCGTGACCCGGTTGCCTAAATGGGTCACCCCCCAGGTCAGGTTTTAAAACCTTGCTACCGATTCCATTTCTATAACTTTTTCTAATTGGACTGTGTACAGTCAGGGGTTAGAATTTAGATTATGCACTTCTCCATGTCAAATGACTCTCATAACAAAAAAGAGAGATTTAACAGCAGAAACAAAAGCGGGCACAGAATATGTCTTACTTCAACGCCAATAACATTTCAATCGTTTGATCTTCCGTCTGCTTTTCAGATAATATTCATGTAAAAATAAANTCTCAATTTTTCATCAATGAAGAGCTCCACTTGGGTGACTGAGGAGGATCATATAACTAATTACCCGTTTTATAAAACACCTCAAATACCCAAATAAGTACCAATTCATTTGAATCAATTACATTCACTGCCCCAAGCCCTGACACCTGTTACGTTAAAATTATAAAATTAATTTTGGTTTGTACCACAACGTGTGGGATATTCTCAAATTTTATAATTCAACTATCAACAACGACAAGTTGCTCTATCGATCATGGTTTTAAAACCTGAAGTGGCTCAGCCGGTTGAATTGGTTAGACCAAGGCCCAGGCCTTCTCAAGGTCGGGTTACCCTTTCAACTATTCTAAGTTTAAAATCTATCAAACACACCCTTGATCAATATACATTAGTCCTTGAAGGTTTGAAATCCAGTAAACACACCCTCTAGCCAAATGCAAATCGGCGATGACCTCCCCTTTTTCGGCGACTTTCCACCTTCCCTTGCTGTCGGAAACCACTTTCTGACTTTCTCTGGGACCATGACGCTTCATCTCCCGCCGTCGTCGTCGCGCGATGTTTCGTCGTCCAGCAATTTTTCTTCCATTTCTCGACGTCGATCGCGCCTTCTCTGACATTGATAAGCCTCCTCAGCCACCGTTCTATCTTCTCCTAAGCTCCCTTGCCGTCATTCATGAAGATCCATAGTCATCTCGCTAAAAAAAGCCATCGCGACCATTTGACTTCCGCCACTGATTTGCCACTTTCCGACGATGCCTCAACTTGCTAGCTACTGATTCTTCCTTCCAATCACCCAATCTACCCTCCCTGGTGTGTCACCACCGCTCTCCCAGTTGATTGCCGATTTGATTTGGCCAAGGGTTGTGTTGGCTAGATTTCAAACCTATAGGGTCTGATGGTATTTACTAGGGGTGTGTTTGCTAGATTTTAAACTTGTCAAACCATTGGTTAGACCGCTAGTTAAACCGGTTAACCCGTGACCCGGGGGGTGACCCCCCGGGTCAGGTTTTAAAACGTTGCCACCGATTCCAATTCTATAACTTTGTCTAATTGGACTGTGTACAGTCAGGGGTTAGAATTTAGATTATGCGCTTCTCCATGTCAAATGACTCTTATCATAACAAAAAAGATAAAAGATTTAACAGCAGAAACAAAAGCGGGCACAGAATATGTCTTACTTCAACGCCAATAACATTTCAATTGATTGATCTTCCGTCTGCTTTTCAGATAATATTCATGTAAAAATTTAAAAATAAAAATAAAAAGTAGTGCTCCTAAAAATGTTTTTTTTTTCCCCTTTGGACTAAGATGAAGGCATTTATATTTTCATAAATGAATTGAAAATAATGTTTCTGAATATACAACCCAAACGCATAAAAGAGGAGCTACACAAAGGAGCAAAACTGATATTTCCATTTCTGTCAGCTCAAAAAATCACCTTCCCAGAAATAGCTTCCTAAAGCTAAATGACACTGTAATCTCAACCTTTACATCATTTGGGAGGAAATTCCACAAACCCCAATATACACAGGGTGTTAGATAATATATCAACTACCAAAACTAAACTAAGGCTTTAAACACACTTCAAAAATAAAAAACTTCCCACTCAATATGCAGGTCTCCACACCCATAGGAGTGGGTTTGACTTCAAAGCGCACTCTACTAGAATATGGAGTCCAAATATTGATTGCAGTGCTTTCTGTTGAACTCCAATAAACTTCCATAAGTACGGTCAGCAATGCCAACAAACAAAGCTTCTGCATCTGGGCTGAAGGCTATTCCAGCAATCTCCCCAAACAGATCAATCTCCTGACACTTGGCATACCCAGACCCAGTATCAAAGATATGAACAAAGTCTGCTGGTTCTGCCATAGCCAGAAACCGGCCATCAGAGGTAAACTTCAGAGCTCTAATGGCCCCCATATTACCCTTCAACACAGCAAAAGACTGGGAAGGGTTTCTTATGTCCCACAGCCTGCAAGTAGTGTCTTGATTACCAGTAGCCAAAATTCTTCCATCTGGGTGCCAAGCTGAAGCAAATGAGTAGTCCAGGTGTCCTTTAAGGTTCCCAGTGACTTTCCCAGACTGGGTATCAGCTAACAAGCACACCGTGCTGTCCCCTAGGATGGCAAACAACTTCCCATCTGGACTAACAGAGGTATTCTGGCAGCAAATCATCAAGAAAATTTCATTAGCATGTAAGAAAGGGAACAATAGCGAACATCCAATTCCTAAGGAAAATGTAGGAAGAGCGAGCTTACATTAACAGACCAATCAAATGAGAAGCGATTAAGGCATGCAAAGTTTTCAGCATCAAATATTCTAACTTGAGCATCATTGTTTGCAGTCATGACCCTCAATAAGCCACTACAAAGAAAAAGAAACGGATCAATTTTATCACTTACCCAACAGATATAAAGGTATCTTAAAAGGTCTAGTAAAGCTAGTATAGCTCAGAGTTACTTACTTAGGGCTACGGTAAATATCCACTGCATTGGTGATGGCATTTTCATCTGTTGTTAGTTTTGTGCAGAATGCAACCCCAGGTTGATCCAAATACTGCACAAGAACATAGAAGTAAATGTTAGATGACTTAATACAGCAATTTTTTAGTTCATGGTGGCTTTTGATTAGACATGTGCTTACCTTGCAAATAAGCTCCCCCTGAAAACCACCAGCTACCAACAAATTTTCTTTAACTGCCATCGTACTTATCTGTACTCTATTTAGAGGCTGAGCCAGCAGTCCAGGGCGTTCCTGCAAAACAAAAATCAGTTTAGACCATACTGAACAGTCAATAAGCCTCAACCTTAATCAATCAAGAAGCAACTTACCAAGGTCGGAACAATTGGCTTTGCCACATTCAGCACTTCTGTGCCCTTTTGGAGCAATGGAGACCAATGCATTGCAGAATAATTCTGCATAAGATACACATCATGCTTTGATGTTGCCCATAACAAATTCCTCAACTGCACAGGGGAAGACAAACAATGGTAGACAGACACGTCAATAACAGCCTTAAACATCACTAGAAAGTATATATTAATCCATATATCCTCCTCAAAGATATGTTTGCAACCAAATGCTAGAAAGATGAATCGCCTAAAACTAGATAGGAGCTTTAGTATCAATAATTCAGCAACACTGGTCAGTCTTTTCTTGAGCATTACAAATTAGAGGAAAAAAACAAAATAAAAAGTCTGCGACAAATTATCGTCACTGTAGATAGTGTGCAGCATAGAGGAAGACTATACATAGATTGTAGGACAAATCACAAACTTCTAAATAAGTTGATGATTAGATATCTTTTTGCGTTATGGTGCCTAGAATATACATAAAACTTCATATAAATTAGAATCACAACATTCATGAACTGTTAATAACAATGAGGTATGCATTGCAACCAAGATACATATAACATGATATGGATGAATTAATTTAACACTCCTGCATAATAAATACAAGAAAATGTAATGGTGTAACTCCAAGTGAATCAAATAAACAAAAATCCAGCATGCACAAGGAATGCAAATCTGAGTATGAATTAGGCCCCTCATGAGCACGAAACATCTATGCTAAACTACAGGAATTGCCACAGAGGCCTCTCAAATACTCAAATATTTTCCTATCATACCATATAAACAATGTATCCTTATGGCGCCAGCTGCTCAGATATAACTCCACCATGCTTTATAGGCTGAAATAAGAGAAAGATAGCAGTCCTAAATGCCACAAGGGTTAAATCCATATAATTATAGTTAACAGACAATTAGAAGCAATAGGTTCAAAACTACATATTGTCACAAAGCAGAGATAAATTACATCATACAAAGGAGAGTAACCATCCACATTTAAAGAGAAAACAGAACCGGTAAATATGGCAATAAGAGCATTAACAAGTAGCACTCTGCCAATAGAAGACTCTGGCTAGCTAGTCTTAAGTTGAATATATAAGATTTACAATCAAATAAAGGAGCCATGGTCAATCACTTGCCAATCTAAAAGACCATCCAACCTCATCATTTTTAACTCTCCATCTTGAAAGACTAAAATTTCAACAATAGTTAACCACAAGTTACAATATCCAAATAAATGAATTTCATACTGGGGTTTCAAACTCTTCTACAAAGACCATCGAACTAGTGATGAATTGTAAGCTTAATCCAGATATTGAAATATTGTGTGTAATGTGCATGCATGTGCATGTGTGAGCGAGTATTTCAATATGGTATCTTGGTATGTTAACCCCAACCAAAGTTGTAAAAGGTTGTTCGGGAAAAAGCTATCTCACGATTAAACAATCTCACAGAATCACATAAGAACATCATCCAAAATGCCAAGCCATGCACAGCAATGATGTGTTGATACCTGTAACTTGCCATTAAATCATTTGTCTGTTAAAAATTATGCCATCAGAAAAATTTGGTCATCTAATTTTATTTCCATGAACTGTTACCACCTGAATGTCTAAAGTAAGCGTCCCTTCAAAAATCTGCAAAAAAGGGACTGAGTGAATATAAACCCCAATCTTATTACTTCAGCGGGGAGCTTTGCTTTCACATATATTAAAAAAATAAGGATCCAGAAAATGGTGAATAAGAATCGTTAGAAAAAGGGTATTCAAGAAACCTGCCACAACATATTTTGGTTCTAAACAATTCCACGAGGGGACTTCTAAAAAAGGAAACAGAGAATTTTTTGTTTTAATATCATAAAAGGATTCCTTAGATCAAAGGAAAAATAGATCCCAGAAGAACAATTTATGATAAAAATATAAGAAAAATAATTAAATTGACAGATTTTGTGGATATAAAAAACAGAGTTTCAGGTAATCTTGAAAACAGTACCAAGTTAATAGCAGATTTTGGATTTTTTAACCACCCAATTTTTTTTGACAAATCAGCAACTTAAATCAAGGATAGATTATATCACCAGTTTGTAGATCTGCACAAAAGTAGTAATGATGGCCTCACTGGACTATAGTTTAAATCTGAAGTTCTTCGAAACTTAAATTAGCTGAAGGTAGAGTTAGTTACATCTCTCAGAAAATAAGATATTCATCAAAACCTAATGTAAAAGCAAGGTCCATACCTTCTAATGAATGACGAGGCACAAAGCTAGTATCATACAAAATAGTTTCCATAAAGAATTATAAAATATTCACAAGACCTGCAAAACTTAGACGGACTAGTATGATATGCAGATAACCGGAGTTCAAAATAATTTTAAAAGACAGACTATTTATAATCCCAGAACCCAAACTGTTCAATATGACTAAGTTCTTATGCAGTGATACAGTGGATGCAATTTATCAATTTATGGAATGGATGTGATTAATCAATTTATGCAAGCAACATTGAAAAATTACCATGGCAAACAATGCAAAGGATTTGTAACAATTAGGAAAAACAAAAGCACAAGCGTAACATGAATTTCCATACTTCACTGCAAATGGTGACTCAAGAAAAATAAAATAAAAAATTGAAATCAAAGTAATGAGATGACTGTGTCCTAAACCAAAATTATTGTGTTTAAAAAGGATGAACAATCAAATAAATGAGAGAGATGACCAAAGTCTCTACCTGAAAATGCACAATTGTTGTCTTGACAATTCTTGTATTGAACTGAAAGTCATAGAAGGTTTTTCCCTTCTCTACTTCCAAGCACTCCTGTCAACATAACATGTTTAGCATACAATTCTGAAAAGAGATTCGTGTTCTAGGCTATCACAGTCGTTTCGGATCTTTTAACCTACTTTTTAACATTAACCAACCCATAACATAAACAGTATAATTACAAAAACGAATAAAAACAATTTAGCAAGGGAGAGACAAACTAACCTTCTGAAGCTCTTCACGCGGCCGGGAGAGGTTCTCGTAATTCTTGTACTGCTTCAATCTCGTCTCACGGTACCTATCTCTGGAAAAATTCATCCTCTCCCAAGGTATCCCTTGTATATCTTTTCCATTTCTTGCTTCTAAAGCAGAAGTATCTGTCTTTGACTTCCTCTGTTTATTCCAAAGAACAAACATATATCATTCACAATGATTTCGTTATACATAATTCTGATAAAGCTGCATGATATCAGTGAAAGCATACCGTTTCAAAGTCATCTTCAAAGTCTGAGTCTAAGGAGTCGGAATTATTGTTTCCAGGAGACTCAACGTCACTAAAAGGATCATCATTATCAAAATCAGCAGCGTCGTAGTAATCATCCACGACGTAGTCAAGATCATCGTTGTTAAAGTGAAATTGTTCCATTATCCTACATTAAAACTAATCTTTATCACTTTAAACAATAACAGAGCCTAAATCACATGAACACACAAGACTGAAAAGTGAACTAAGAAAGCACAGTTAACAAATGAACTTACTTTTACATCAATACAGACGCAGAATTACAAATTTAAAGAAGATAAGATTTTAAAACATCTCTATATCAGTCTAACTTAAACATGTAACAAACAGTATGAAATAATTCAGCAAGTTATTCAAAAACTCAAACAAAAAACAGAAAAAAAAGAAATAATACCTCCTAATTTCGGTAGAGTGATAGATCACCAAGCCGAGAGCCGTAAACCACAATAGAGAGCGAAGAGTAATGGATTTCTAGGCAATTTACCGGGAAACAAACAGAAAAGGTGTTTCTATTCCAGTAACGGAGGTTCGGATTTGTTTTGAAATAGACGTTTTTGTTGTGAAGGAGAAGAAAAACAAGAAAAATATGAAGTACGTAGACACAAAGCTACTAAGCTTTCTCTCAAACAGCGATAAATATCAAACCTCGACGTCCTTCTTATAATGGTGAAGGTGGGACTGGAGAGATTTAAAGAGTGCGAAAGGCGGGTTCCACCAAGGTTGCTGGGTCCCGCAAACGTCCGTTACAAAAGGAAAAGAGAAAGTATTCCGTGTGCCCGTGGGGTCTACACTCAACCGCTTCATTTTTCCCGGGTGCTATGCTACTACTTGACAACTCTTTACGGGTTAGCGTAAGTATGACGGTGTAATCACTAGAAAAGACTGTCCGGATCTCGTTTCCTTTTTTTTGCCTTTACAGAATTTGCATTTTCCCAAAAGTAACTTATGTGGTTTTTTGTTCGATACATTAATGATTCTTCTTTTATAAAATANAAGATTTTAAAACATCTCTATATCAGTTTAATTTAAACATGTAACAAACAGTATGAAATAATTCAGCAAGTTATTCAAAAACTCAAACAAATAACAGAAGAAAAAGAAACAATACCTCCTAATTTCGGTAGAGTGATAGATCACCAAGCCGAGAGCCGTAAACCACAATAGAGAGCGAAGAGTAATGGATTTCTAGGCAATTTACCGGGAAACAAACAGAAAAGGTGTTTCTATTCCAGTAACGGAGGTTCGGATTTGTTTTGAAATAGACGTTTTTGTTGTGAAGGAGAAGAAAAACAAGAAAAATATGAAGTACGTAGACACAAAGCTACTAAGCTTTCTCTCAAACAGCGATAAATATCAAACCTCGACGTCCTTCTTATAATGGTGAAGGTGGGACTGGAGAGATTTAAAGAGTGCGAAAGGCGGGTTCCACCAAGGTTGCTGGGTCCCGCAAACGTCCGTTACAAAAGGAAAAGAGAAAGTATTCCGTGTGCCCGTGGGGTCTACACTCAACCGCTTCATTTTTCCCGGGTGCTATGCTACTACTTGACACTCTTTACGGGTTAGCGTAACTATGACGGTGTAATCACTAGAAAAGACTGTCCGGATCTCGTTTCCTTTTTTTTGCCTTTACAGAATTTGCATTTTCCCAAAAGTAACTTATGTGGTTTTTTGTTCGATACATTAATGATTCTTCTTTTATAAAATATGATTTACTTCCAGATTTCATTCCATTTTTTTTTTTTTACCAAAAATATAGAGATAAATCTTGTAAATGAATAAGATGACCGATTATTTGAATAATACAACAGGTGCAATATTTTTATATAATATTATATGTTAAAATATGATTGATTGATTTTAAATTCAAATTAAACTTTTACCCAATCATCTTCTATCATATATAATGTTATATGAAAATTGTGATGATGATGTGGCTTGTGTATGCCACGATGGAGTCAGCATCAGTCAAATAAATCGGCTTCAACATTAAACCAAAACAGCAGCGTTTCAACTATCAGACTTAATGCATTATCTGGCAACCGAATTCCATTCTGCTTCAACAAAATGCACAGCTCACCTCACGCTCTCTTCTAGTTCCTTCTCAGCCCTAACGACAGAAGATTCTACAGCTTCTCTTCTCTAACAAACTGCTGATTATACTGGACAGCTAGAGGATGATCAATGGAGTCCTAATCTGTATAAAATCAGATATATTGTGCTGAAGAAAGCATAGTTTTTTCAGAGGGATATTTCGAGTGTGTTCTTTCTTTTTTTTCCTGGTTGTATACTCTCTGTAATCTTGGTTTCCTTGAGTAATAAAATACCATGTAGTGTGCCTTTAAAAGTGGATATAGGCTATCTTAGCCGAACCACTATAAATCCCCTGTGTCAATTTTCTCTTCTGTTATTTCATGCTTTTCTTAATCTCTTAATTGACTGCTTGTTGATTGATAAGATTGTGTTAGCTCATTGATTGATTTAATCAGTATATCTGAAAGCCCTAATTAGTCACTACAAAAATGTTATATGTCCCGATGATTTACATCTTTTCTGGAAAATGAATAAAGATCAACTTGATTTATGATACAGTAAAAACCTATTTATAATCATAATAGTAGGATCAAGTAATTTTATTACTTTGAGGAGGTTATAACTTAATAGAGGTGTAGTTACAAAAATTATTGTTTTGATTTCTTATTTTATAATTTATGTTTTAGTAATAAAGTATTAGGAATTTTATTCATATTTTAGTAGTATTAGTATTTCAATTCAGCACTTTAATTATCTACTTTTAAAATGGATAGAAGATCATGTCTTGGAACCAGCAAAGATAAGTGTCATTCATAAAATTTTAAATGCAGTTGATACATGGTCAATTGATGTGAAGCCACAGACAATTGCTAATGGTTTTAACCATTGCAAAATTAGGACGTCTGATGTCAATGAATTGCCAGTTACAAATGAAGTGGATTAGGAGAATAAAAAATCATTGCAGAATTGAGTTATCAGATTTGAAAACTTCACTACACTAACCAAATGAATATTAATGTCTTCTTCGATCGTCCAAATAAGCAATAAATCGTGTATGTTTTAACTGAAGAAGTAATCATTACTATAATTAGATAAGAAGAGAAAGGAAATAATCATGAGAATGATAGTATAAAAATACAAAAAAGTTTCGTACCATGAAACCCTAAACATGCTTGAGAAGCTAAAACTATTTTGGCTTCGATAAGAAAGTGTTCATGCTAGCGAATTATTACATACTCGTAAGATAAAAGATGTGGTAATAACTTTAAAGTATAAATTATTGTCTCAAACAATTTTAGATAAATATTTTATTTCATCCTAAACTTTTAATATAATATAAAATATATATTTTTGTAATATAAAAATAATTATTACTATATAATGGTAACTTTCTTTAAGGTGGGAATTAAAAAAATTATAATTTATTACAATGTGGAGTTTATCCTTATTTATAATTATTCTAAATTAGGATTAAAATTTTGTATGAACTATATAAAATTTATTTTTATACATACTAGAGAAATTATATTGTATAAAAGATATTAAAAATACGATTTACCAGTCTGTCCTTATCAATAACCTATTAATGACAGGCTTTAGTTTATTACAATAAGAATGACATTTTAACTTAAAGGACATTTCTGTATAATTGCTACTCGCAGGTTCAGCGTGATTTCATATGCAAGAGCCACCTCTTGTACAATTTGATCACGGGTCGGATCGTCCGAGGACCGCAGTCATTACAATAAACGGTAGAGAAATAGAAATGGGGTAGACCTGACAGCAGTCATAAAAGAAAACATTGGATTCACCATAAAAAACAAAACAAGAATTAAATATTATTTTTTAAGCAATGGGGGCCATGCCCATGGGGCAGCTCAACTCTTCTTCGAAATGACTATAGTCCACCAGCTATGATATGGTGAATCCACGTGGTTGGCTCAGAGCAAGAGTTAAAGAAGATGGCAGCTACTGGTTCCACCACGTGGCTACGAGAGATGATAGGTCCTTCTAGTCTTAACTCCAAATGGTACTATATTGCATAGTTTTCCCCCATTCGACGGCGTCACAGTCCACAAATCTCCCGTTAGTTTAACCATGGTTAGTGAAATGAAATATTAACAGTAGTTGAGTTGGTGGATGGTTATCATCTACCACTTTGGTCTACGCTTCGGCATTTGGGTCGGTTAACCTGGGACCCACAAGAACTCACGATATGGTTTTGGTTCGTACAACTTGTCAGTTTTTGATTTTGGAAAGAGTCCCTTTCTTAAGTTTGCGGGTTTAAATAAAGACCTTGATTTAGTTCTAAACAAGGACGAAAGGAAGACATTTGACAAGGGTGCGTTGGGAATTTCAAGATTTTATCTGCGGGCTGGGCAGGCAGGTTCCTTA